ATATAGAGAGAGAGAGGCAGACAGACAGACACACAAATATATGTCTACACACACACACACATACACAATAATTACACAAATTAATTACAAATACGATAATTCGTGCAGAAACACCCGCTGGCGCTTAAGATTTAACGCCAACCGGAAAACTTTCGAACGCGCGAAAAAAAGAAGAAAAAATCTCACAAGGAAATAAAAGAAAACGAAACATGGACACTAAAGAGTCACCGGGGCGTGGCAGGTAGTTTCGCTCGCTTGGAAATTGCGACTCTCCCTTCTTTTTTATGACTCGAGATATCAAAGGAAATCGCACCTCCCGCACCGCCACAAGGAGCGCCTGGGAGCTGATGGCCCGTTACCTCCGCCTATTAACTCGGCTCTAAATGTGGGAAGAAACGTGTCATGAAGGGTAGGAGTCGCGTTGGGCGTTTTGGGACGGCGGCGGCGGGAAAAAGTAGTATTCATGGGAAGCTTGTCGCTCGGTGTCGATGTGACGGTGCTTGAGGGCGCGGCTGGACTGCTCGGAGGAAAGGAGGAAATGGACTTACAGGAAGGAGACGTCCTCAGAGGCAGGAAGATGGATGGCCGTTTGGCTGTGTGAGTTCAAGGCGCTGATGGAAGTATGAGGATTCTTGGGCCTGGGTAAGGGCTAGGGGTGGGGGTGGGGGGTAGGGTTGTGGCTTGCGAGAAACGGGGGTTTGATAGGAGAGGGTGATTCAAGACCTCAAGCACTGAGAATGCTGGGATTTTTTTTTTTTTTTGAAGAGAATGCCTGACAGATTTCTTTCGGCGGCAATTTGCAGGGAATCATGTCTGAGTGGCTTTCGGAAAATATGATCTTTTACTTGTTGCGATTTCAGTCCAACGGAAGAGGCAGAAATATGACGTCAGGTGTAAGGCACAGAATGTAAAGGAAAATAAGAAAGACAAAAGATGCTATGGACAGAATTCTAAAAGAAAAGGTGCACGGCGATTTAGATGTGTCGACCTTCACAAATCGTGACCAAGGTAGTGGCAAGGCTCTCCTCAAGCTCATAACTGCGGTTCTTGCTTCTGAATCTGTTTTGTTTTTGTCTCGTTCTTTTTTTAGCTTCACACACACACACACACACACACACACACACACACACACACACACACACACACACACACACACACACACACACACACACACACACACACACACACACACACACACACACACACACACACACACACACACACACACACACACACACACACACACACACACACACACACACACACACACACACACACACACACACACACACACACACACACACACACACACACACACACACACACACACACACACACACACACACACACACACACACACACACACACACACACACACACACACACACACACACACACACACACACACACACACACACACACACACACACACACACACACACACACACACACACACACACACACACACACACACACACACACACACACACACACACACACACACACACACACACACACACACACACACACACACACACACACACACACACACACACACACACACACACACACACACACACACACACACACACACACACACACACACACACACACACACACACACACACACACACACACACACACACACACACACACACACACACACACACACACACACACACACACACACACACACACACACACACACACACACACACACACACACACACACACACACACACACACACACACACACACACACACACACACACACACACACACACACACACACACACACACACACACACACACACACACACACACACACACACACACACACACACACACACACACACACACACACACACACACACACACACACACACACACACACACACACACACACACACACACACACACACACACACACACACACACACACACACACACACACACACACACACACACACACACACACACACACACACACACACACACACACACACACACACACACACACACACACACACACACACACACACACACACACACACACACACACACACACACACACACATACACAATAATTACACAAATTAATTACAAATACGATAATTCGTGCAGAAACACCCGCTGGCGCTTAAGATTTAACGCCAACCGGAAAACTTTCGAACGCGCGAAAAGAAGAAGAAAAAATCTCACAAGGAAATAAAAGAAAACGAAACATGGACACTAAAGAGTCACCGGGGCGTGGCAGGTAGTTTCGCTCGCTTGGAAATTGCGACTCTCCCTTCTTTTTTATGACTCGAGATATCAAAGGAAATCGCACCTCCCGCACCGCCACAAGGAGCGCCTGGGAGCTGATGGCCCGTTACCTCCGCCTATTAACTCGGCTCTAAATGTGGGAAGAAACGTGTCATGAAGGGTAGGAGTCGCGTTGGGCGTTTTGGGACGGCGGCGGCGGGAAAAAGTAGTATTCATGGGAAGCTTGTCGCTCGGTGTCGATGTGACGGTGCTTGAGGGCGCGGCTGGACTGCTCGGAGGAAAGGAGGAAATGGACTTACAGGAAGGAGACGTCCTCAGAGGCAGGAAGATGGATGGCCGTTTGGCTGTGTGAGTTCAAGGCGCTGATGGAAGTATGAGGATTCTTGGGCCTGGGTAAGGGCTAGGGGTGGGGGTGGGGGGTAGGGTTGTGGCTTGCGAGAAACGGGGGTTTGATAGGAGAGGGTGATTCAAGACCTCAAGCACTGAGAATGCTGGGATTTTTTTTTTTTTTTTGAAGAGAATGCCTGACAGATTTCTTTCGGCGGCAATTTGCAGGGAATCATGTCTGAGTGGCTTTCGGAAAATATGATCTTTTACTTGTTGCGATTTCAGTCCAACGGAAGAGGCAGAAATATGACGTCAGGTGTAAGGCACAGAATGTAAAGGAAAATAAGAAAGACAAAAGATGCTATGGACAGAATTCTAAAAGAAAAGGTGCACGGCGATTTAGATGTGTCGACCTTCACAAATCGTGACCAAGGTAGTGGCAAGGCTCTCCTCAAGCTCATAACTGCGGTTCTTGCTTCTGAATCTGTTTTGTTTTTGTCTCGTTCTTTTTTTAGCTTACGATTTTGTATCGACGTTAACCGGGTTCAAACTGCACTCAAGCGTTGTACATTAAGAGCGAAAAAATACTGTTTACTAGCGGTTTTCGGCAAAAAGCATCAAATTCCGACAATGCCGAACCTCCGTTCCCAAGCCCGCATCATCACAAAAGCCGACTGCATTGTCTAGCCACATGTTGGTGTCAATAACCATCTTGCACGAATCCCGTAAAGTCATGCCGTAAACAGTTCGCGATAGCATTGTGAAGACTCATTTAGTTGACAGATGGGGATGCAATTGTCTACGTTTGATTGAAACGGAAAATTTTAGATAAAAATAAGAGAGAGAGAGAGAGAGAGAGAGAGAGAGAGAGAGAGAGAGAGAGAGAGAGAGAGAGAGAGAGAGAGAGAGAGAGAGTGTGTGAGAGTAAAATGACCGTCATCACAATTATACCGGATCCACCACACATGACGCCATGTGGAGAGAGTCTTTGATAGGGCACTTAACTACAATGACAATTTGAAAATGATATTTCTTGCCGCTTCACCACCGATACGTTTTATTGCGAGTCCTGCGTGTCCGATTCGTTAGCGCCAACTTCGCTGGAGCCGCATGTTAAAATTTACTGGTAGACTTAATTATCATTACCTATGTGAGGGGCGTAAATAAGATATTTGGCACAGCTAAATAAAAGGGTTAAGAATTAAATTTTGTGAATCTGTAATAGCTTGTTCCTGAAAGGTAGTTATAAAAATGGGAATGATCTTATTTTTTAAGTTTAAAAACATGGAATTATTTAATGACATACATTTTATGAGGTAATCCTGTGCATATGATTTTCTTCTACCAAAGATGATCGAAATGCCCTCAGAATAACATCAAGGACTGACAATATCCACACTTCCTTAGCATCACGTCCATATGCGGTCCACGTCTCCCCGTGACGTAGATGCGACATGACCCCAGGCGTCACGGTAGTAAGAACAGTTAAGCGCGTCTAATATCGAGCCCAACAGTGGAAATATTACGTTCATGTAGCTCTGGTTTTCAGTCTTTCTTTTCGTAATCGGATTTACCAACCTCGGCGTTTAACCTGCGCATTAATGGCATGATAACTGCCCGGCAACTCAGCACGATCCCCAGCAGGAAGTCGGCCTGGTGCCACGTTGAGTCTACCCTGTAATGGTTTGACCCCAAATGGTACTCCTGGTGGAAGAAATGGTACGGTTGGCCACCGCAAACGATTCGGTGTGGAGCGGAGAATTTGATTTGTGTGGTGAACCGTTAAAATGATATAATTTTTTTCTAGTTTATCGCGGCCGTTGCTTGCAACTGAAGACATCAGTAAGATTATGCTATTTGATCAATGACGTCGTGAGTAAGAATGATCTTGAATGTAATTAAGCATCTTTCGTTGCCATCTTTTTTTTAGCATCACGGGAGAACTGGAAAACATCAGCGACAATGACACTAACTATAATAACAACTGGTGGATCTCAGTGTAGAATTAATGCCATCATCTCAGCAACTACCGTGACAAACGCATTACCTAAACCCTAAAGCGTCGTAACCGTGAAGGAATTACGCGTTACCACTGTCACTCACCCCTTCCCTTATCCTCTCACCTACGTGGTGCTAACTCTTCCTGGTGGTTTTATGGCTCATCTATATCGCCCCTTATTGAATATTCAAGCTTTATATTATCTTTATTTTTTCACGTTGATCATTAAGGTGTTACACGAGCCGTTCCCCAGTCACCCCGGAAATGTATATTTTACGGGCACACATTTAAGACTTGGCGAAAAATTAACGTATATAATCGTACGTATGACCTTGTTCTGTAAAACTTCCGTATCTAGTGTATCTAGTGAGAATATATTAGCAACTTTTGAAAGGTTAATGCAACATACCTTATATGCGACGCCGTATGAATTTGTCCAAAGCTCCTCCTGGAAAATAGAATAAAAGTTTGGTAAGAAATAGGATACAATGTTCGTATGAGTGAAATAAATCATTTTTTCTATAAACAAAAATAATGGCTGCATTTGTATTTTGGGCTCACACAAAATCGAGTAATGTTTTATATATTGTCTCAACTGGTTTCCTTTTACTTTTGTCATTCATCCAAAAGCATCCGTTAGCAAAGGTATCCGAATCTATCCACAAGCATTTCCGTACCACAACACACCCATTGAATTATCTCCACTCCTTCAAGAAAGAACCGAGTGATAAAGAAGTTTTTATTTACCTTTTTCCCTTAGATTCGCCCAATGACCACGGGAATAACCGAAAATATCTAACGGAACGTGTGATCCATTCATTGTCTTCACTAATACATTATTCTGGAGTGATTTTCACTAAAGTGTTGTTTGCATCAGTTACATCCAAATATTCCCTGTACACCTCAAAAATAAAAGCTCAATTCAGTGCTCATTCTTGAAGATGGCGGTTCGTGCGTCGTCCCACAGAGCCGGAGGGGCGGCGGGCGGCCAGGAGGAAGGAAAGTCGCGGAGCGGAACAAGCCAACCCTCCACACTTCACGCCGCTGACCGCTGGCTTCACTTTTTATCGGTTTTGTAAGAGGATTTTACCCTTTTTCCCTCTCAGTGTGGATAAGGGAGAATGATGTGGGAGTTGGTGTCCTTGGATACTCGGATTAACGAAGGATTTACGTAGAAAAAAGGAGATGGAAATGACGCTGGCTTTTAGATTCTCGTAGCCTGATCTTGTGGCTGGGTACGCTGAGGTGTTTGACAAATCTCATTACCACGAGAGGTGATTTTAATGGAAGTTAACACATTTTTAATGAAATAGATGCTTATCGATAATAGCATCGAGATATAAGAGCGTTTTTGGTTTTCAATTGTACCATATTCGCCGGTAATGAATTAGCAATAGCAAAAAGAATCATTCATTTCTCAATAGACAGCTTTAAAAAATAAGATTAGAATTAAAATACAGAGAGTAAAAAAAGGAAGCAGTGGTCTGCGAAGAAATGTCTGCGAGTTCATGAACCCGAAAGGAATTACACGCGACAGAAAAGCGAACGAAAAATAAAGGTAAAAAAAAGTAGGGGTGAAGACGGGCGGCCGTGGCGGAAATACCAGTATAATCTGCGAGTTTAATGGCCGGTGCGACTTCACTCTTTACTACAAACGTCCTTGATGAAGGTCCGCAAGAAATTATTGGTGTTCGTAATGGATGTGAGAAGAAAAAATCAGTCTTGCGATGTAGTTGCTTTTAATTTTGGGGAGTATTCACACTTTTACGATGTACTTAATGGTATTTTTGAAAATTACTTCTTGATTTTCAATGATAATGACCGGATATTTCATTAAGTGTTGTAGAACAGACCGTAGTGGAAGTAAAAAAAAAAAAAAAATGCCGTTTCGTTTGCGTGAGTTCACATAGCCGTTTTTTTCGCGGATGTTCACAACTTAGGGAAGTCCTGTCTTAACGCGGTAATATTTGACGGTGAATGACTGCAGAATACGGTGCTATGTTCCGCCCAGTGAAGCGACCAGACGGAAGAAGGATTGGTGTTGAGGCAGTTAAGTCTGTGGGATGGCCGGGGATGAGCACACGAGGCAGCTGCGGGGAAATGAGCCGTGTGCTTGGAAGGAGTGGGTGGGGTGACCGGGGTGGTGGTAGTGGTGAGGATAGTGGTGGGGTGATGGGGGTGTTGGTGGTAGGGGAAGTGGTGGTGGTGGTGGCGAGGGTTGCTTGGGTGGTGGAGGAGGGGGTGATGGTGGTGATGATGAGGAAGGTGGTAGTGATGATAATGGCGATAGTGATGATAGTTATCATTATTGCTTTCACCATCACAGTAATTAACGACGAAAAGAAATGGGTGATAGTTTTTTTTTACTGGAGAAATATGGAAATGCTTTTAAAACGGCCGTGCTTACAGTCAACCTTAGATAAAAAATGAGGTCCCAATGCTTCAGTGCATTTTCATGAATGGAGCGCTGCTCATGCACTAGTTCCCGTTTTACATCTTGTCTTGCAGTCGTTCCTTGCAACGTTGCAAACTCATACCGAAGCTTCGGCAACAGTTCCCCTCGGCCAGTTTCATGGCTCTACTTACCGTGTCTCAATAAATTTATATAGACATTCGGATATACGAACACACATAAACATACAGCTGCGCGCGCACGTGCACACACACACATATCTATATCTATCTATATATGTATGTATGTGTATGTGTGTGTGTGTGTGTAAGTGCATGTGTGTGTGGAAATGGAAGTATAGATAGACAAAGAGGTAGATAGATATAAATAGACAATTAGATGTATGTATGTGTATGTTTGTATATGTTTATATATATATATATATATATATATATACATATACATATATCTATTATATATATATGTGTATGTATATGTATATATATATATCTATATATCTATCTATCTATCTATATATATATATATATATATATATATATATATATATATATATATATATATATATACGTACGTATACATACACATACAAATTTGTATGCTCAGATAAACAGAGATGATAGACACAAAGATTGACATATAATCCCTGCTTTTTCTTTCCTTCCCCTTTTAGCATCCAATGAAATATCCAAGACTTTCCAGGCCGCCCTCGAGCGTGGGAAAGGCGTAATTCTACGACACTCGAGAAGGCGGAGAACCGGCATCTCGCCCCGTGAACAAAGCGACGGCGGTGATGCGCAACAATCTTTAAGTGGCATTCCTCGTGCTTTTGTTAGTCGCCCCGGCCTCGTCTCGCCCCCTTCCCTTCGCCACTCACGTCTGACACCTCTCGCCCTGACGTCTCACTCACTCAAGAGTTCAGCGCCTTGTCCCTTGCCCTGTGTGTGGGGGTTATCTGGGGCCTGAGATATTCTTTAATTTCGGTTGGTTGTTTGTAGTATCTTAAACGAAGGTGGGAATGTGATGAACATGTGATGGTTTCCCCATTTTATTTATAAATATATATAGGTATATTATATATAGACAATATACCAATTAATTAGCAATATAAGTGGGTAGATGAAACAGCACTTTATCCTGGGTCCTGGGGCCATCGAGGGCATTCTGAACCGGTCATGGTCTGAGGAGAGCGACTGTGGAAGTCGATTGTTTCATTCCACGATCCCTGTTTCACGTAACAGGGTTATATCCACATTGGTACATGGTAGCTGAACCACATGGACAATGCGCAGTGATAGTGCGGTGTAACTCAGCGGGAAACGCATCATTCAAACGGAACTGTCACACGCCTATCAAATCACCTATGGCAATGGCCGATTCGTTTCGGCATCTCAGTCACACGTCGAGGCAGGAGAAAGACACTAGGTACTGTCAGTCGAAAATTTAGAAACGCCATAAATCATAAAGTATCAAACTGTTAAATAAGGACCATAGTTCACATGACTTCTCACAAATATCTAGAAACAACTTAAAAACAGCATTGCGAAAATCACTGAGTCCATCGTCGAGTACGTAAATACCAGTAATGAGGGTGGTCGTGTGTATTAACTAGGCACAAGGACGCGCAGGTGCCTGGGTTGGCCTGCGTCGTAACGGCCCCATGTGCTCGTCGCCGCTTCCGTTGGCCGCTCTCAAATTACCCGTTAATGACCCTTGAGCCGCTACGCCAACAACCTTCTGACGGTCGTTCAATGTTTGGGTCCTTTGATGGTCACCTGATTTAGGTTTTATGGCCACCTGATTGCTAGAGGGGACAAGTTCGGGGTTATGTTCTGGTGTGTGTGTGTGTGTGTGTGTGTGTGTGTGTGTGTGTGTGTGTGTGTGTGTGTGTGTGTGTGTGTGTGTGTGTGTGTGTGTGTGTGTGTGTGTGTGCGTGTCTGCTACCGCGAGTGTGTGTATGATCTGAAGTACAATATGTACATCTACACATGCGAGTCGGATTACATGCACATTTCATAAGGATGTACGTGAATATAACCAATTTTCTCGAGGCGACCTTGAGAAGGCGGAGGCGAGTAATGATCACGCTGACCACATCTTCCTCACTCCGCCCCTACATTTCCTCCTCCCGGTTATTTCCTTCCTCTAGGCTCGCGACGGCGGTTACACGACGTCACCGCACGCTATCTCGTCGGAAAAATCAAAACAATTCGCTTCACAAGTCGATTTTGTGATATTCAAACATCAAGAAAGTACTGATTCAGTGATATTCAAAATATTACGATGAGATTTGATATTCTTTATTTTACTTACATAGAATACTCTGTAAACTGTTGATTTTTTATGGTGATAAGAAAAATATCAGGTATTTGTTTTAAATGCTTGCTTTCCTACTAGATTTTCAGAACAACCTTATACTGTTGCTTGAACATTCATAACGACTTCAGTTTAAGAAAATTAAAATACATCACGATTAATAAGAAGGCACTGCCTTTCGTCATTATCATACGGTTAAGTATTGAGACGGCCAGAAGGCAGTCATTAATTTCCCATCCCATTGTTCTAACGATAACTGGAAACAGGAAATATTATCTCAGGTAATTGTGTGTGATCCATCTCCAGTATTATAGAGAATGCGCGCGCGCACGCGCGTGTTAATGAAATCCACTATGAATGGTTTAGACCTCACTTTTATCAAAATTCGAAAGACCAATTACAGCTCGAGACTCAATATTTTATTTATTTAATGAAATATTACTCAATATTTCATTTATTTAATGAAAAATATAGAAGTTTCAGGATCATGTTATCGTTTAAAATGTATTAACGTGGTTGCCAGCTATATGCAACATTTGGAAGGAAACCAGTGCGTTCGCTCCAAGAGACATTTAACGAGGGCCGGATGCAGAGAGAGCGAGCGAAAGCAGATATAAAACGAGACGGAATATTAGGGTGAAAGGCCTTGCCATCCATCATCATCCCTCATGCATGGCGGCATCCTGCTGGGCAGTCTTCCTTCTCCTTCTCTTGTGCGCTTC